GATTAGTGTCTAAGTCCATAACTATTTTGGTATGTACTTGACCCGATGGTGCATGGTCCTTTTGGGTTGCCTTCACCAAAGCAACTTGATTGGAGAAATGAATAAAGAGAGAGAGGATAATATGATTTATTAATATGTTATAAGAATAATATATTAAAGGAGAAATCATATTTGTTTAATTAATATTGGTCAATAATTAATTAAGAATTAGTTTTGTGATCAAATGTAATTAATTAAACTAGAGGGGCTGAATTGTAATTATGTGATAGTTACAAAATAAGGTAAGGATTACCTTATATATATGGTGAACGAATTTGAGGTGTAAATCCCTTAGAATTAGAGTATGATAAGGATTCAAGGATTATCTTATTGGTTGCTTAATGGATAATCAACTAGATAAGGATAATGACTGAAACCCTATCTCTACACCTATATAAACACCCCTAGGGCCATGAATTCGTGTATCCCTTCCCAAGAGGTCCAAGATACGAATTCTAACCTCTCACTTCTCTCTTTATACCTTCTCCATTTGCTTATGGTGTTTGTAAGCCATTAGAAGAGTGACACTTGTGACTCTAAGCATTCCAAAGTCAATACAAGGAGATTTGGGATTGTTATTGCTACATAACAATCAAGGTAACACTATAAACTTATTCTCATGTTAATATGATTATATGTATGCTAGAATTAGGGTTTGTAGTCTTGGATTCAAAGCATGTACAATAGAGAAACCTAGATCCAAGCATTAGGGTTTGTATGAGCACATAGGATGTCTTATGACCAAAACCAATCAGTAACATGGGTAGGTCAGGCACCCCAGAACTGCCTGACAATATGTATGTCGATTTGTATATGGTATGATGGGAGAACTCACTAAGCTTTGTGCTTATAGTTTCAATTTTGGTTTTAGGTACCTCTTCGTCCAAGGGGAAGGAGGCGACGACGTATCAGCGCACACACACACACCATGATTTCCGCTTAGAGTTTTCTAGGATTATACTCTGATATTCTATTATTTCAGATGATATGGTTTTGAGACATGATATCGTGGTTTTATGTATTAACATGATCTTGACAATGTTTTGATAAATTATTTTATAAATCACTTGTTTAAAAATGAAATTTGTGGCCTTAAATTTTGGGATGTTACACAATCCATTTATAGGAACAATTAGCTCTCCTATGTTTAATCCATGCAAACACCATGGACTGAATGTTCCCCGCCAGTTGGTTAGGTGATATCTGAATCTTATTAAATATAAAGTCCCACCTTGCTTTCCATATTAGCCATGCAGTACCATAACAAATGCTAATTAGGTTCTTCCTCTTCTTTAAGCATCGTCCCCATGTTGAACAAAACTTCACCATGTCACTTAAGTTCCCAAATTGGGGTTGAGGAATACCATACCACCTGAACATCGCCTCCCACACCTTTGCTGCCATCGAACAGTTGATGAAAGCATGATCAGTATCTTCTCTTTCCAGATCACAGTAGCTGCAATTAATTGTATTGAAATTGATTCCTCTCTTTTGGAGAGCACATGCAGTTGGGATACCATTTAGGACCGCCCTCCAAATGAAACACCGCACCTTAGTTGGGACCTCCGGTATCTAATCGATCTTCCCTCCTTCAATACTAGAGCTCTCTTTATCAATTTGTTCCCTTACCACATTAATGTGGTAGACCCCCATCCCCAGAGATGTTACATACCCAACTATCTGGTTCGGTGTTTGGCAGGAATGATTCCACTTTGAAAGCTAATTCATCAAATTAACGTGCTTGAGAGTTAGAGGATGGACTCGATTTCCATTCCTATGTTATCCCCCAGTGTTTATCCTCTCCCTAATTTTACATTTTTTACTTTTCTTCAGCTTGTACAATCCTGGGAACATTGATTTTAAATTTTCGTTGTCCAACCATTTATCTAACCAAAATAATATGTTATCTCCTTCACCCACCTGTTTTTTATTACTTCATCAAAGTTGATTCCAGCTTTCAAGAACTCTCTTTTTACCCTTGCTATATTGTTCCAAACACTCGGAATGGACTTTTTTGAGATACAATTTGCAGCCTAGTTCTTGAGGTTATGGATACCCATAATAGTCTCCCCCCATGGACTTGCTCCATCACTTCGCAACTACCACCACCATTTGCCAATTAGTTCAAGATTCAGAACTTTAAGTTAACCCAAACCAAGACCGGCAACTTCTCTAGGGGACACCACCTTTTGCCAAGAGACCCAGTTGATTTTTCTCTTCCTATCTTCATTCATACCCCATAAGAATTTCCTTCTAATACTTTCCAAAGAGTTTATGACTCCAGCAGGTGCAACAAATAGTTAGAAATAGTAATATAGTATGTAGGTGGGTTACCAAGAACCACTTTGCATAGGGTGAGGCGTCCCCCCATTGAAATGGTTTTTGATTTCCATACATATAATTTGGCCTGGAATCTCTCAATCACCGGTCTCCAGTTTTTCTTCAACTTCATGTTTCCTCCTACCGGTACACCAAGATAGTTGAAAGGGAGTTTGGCCGGTTCACATCCAAGGGGAGTGGCATACCGGGTAACCTCATGCATGTCAAATCCAACTCTAATAACCCGTGATTTGTGAAAGTTGACCTTGAGGCCAGAAGTTACGTGAAAGCACCTTAGTATTCTTGCGAGATTTTTAATGTTTTCCTTATGCCATTCGCCCATGAATAGAGAATCATCCGCGTAAAATAAATGAGAGATAGATGTCTCTGTATTTGGAAGAGATATCCCGGTAAAAATGCCTTTCTCACAAGATGTTTTTATTGCAATATTGAGCCCCTCCATGACAATAATGAATAGGAAAGGCGATAGTGGATCACCTTGTCTAACTCCCTGTTCCATCTCAAACTCCTTTGTGGGTGAACCATTTACTAGTGCATATGCTCTTGTAGAACGTAAACACCCTTGAATCCAACCACATCATTTGTCTCCAAATCCAAGTTGCATTTGAATCGAGTCAAGGTATTCCCAGATAGCTGAATCAAAGGCTTTGTCGAAGTCCACTTTGAAGAGCAACATTTTCTTTTTGGCTTTCTTACTCCAGGAGCATAGTTCGTTTACAATTAGCGGACTACCCAAGATATTCCTTCCTTCGACAAATGCAGATTGCACCTCTCCAATACACTTACCAATAACCCTTTTTAGTCTGTGAGCCAAGGTTTTTGCAATATAGACATCCAATTAGACTTATTGGTCTATAATCTCCAAGTGTTATCGGATCCTTGATTTTTGGAACTAGAGTAATGAAAGAGGAGTTGCATCCTCTTCCAAGTCTCCCATAATTTTCGAAGTATTTAACAACATTTATTACACCATCTTGCATCTCCGCCCAATACTTCTTAATGAACTGGAACAAAAATCCATCAGGCCCGACGCCTTTTCATTCCTGCATGCCGTACAACACATCTGATCTCTTCATTAGTGAATGGGGCTTCTAGCTGAACTTTATCAAGTGCACCCAACGAGGTGAATTTATTGCTTATCAACTTTGGTCTCGACGACCCTTTCTCCAGTAACTTCCTTTGATAAAATTTGAAAGCTCATTGCTTAATGGTCTCTGCATCTGTGGCCCATGAGTTGTTAGTCTGCAGCCTCATTATTTTGTTCTTTCTATGTTTGTTATTCACATATCCATTGAAGAAAGATGTGTTCTTGTCCCCGTCTATCACCCACTTTATTCTAGATTTTTGTTTCAAATCCAAGGTCGTTAATTTCTCAATTTCAACAATTTTCTGTATTCCGGATCGCCTTTCATTGATCTCCATTTCGCTAAGTTGTCTTATTTCCACCAAGCAATCAATGTTTATGCACATGCTGTTTAGTTCTCCTTAATTCAACTGTCTCCCTCGGGTATTCATTTGCCCTCCACTTTTTAAGTTCATTCTTCCAAAATTTTAAGTTAATTAATCGTAAAGTTAAATCAGTTAATTCCCTTTACACCGTCACTCATACTATAAAACTTAAAACAAAGAGAAATTTACAAAAATAGCCATTTACACTAATGATATTACAAAAATAGCCAAAAAAAATCGAAATTACAAAAATAACCACCCATTTCGCAGATGAGAAGGTCCCATCTGCGAAATGGGCTTCTCATCTGCGAAAGTACAAGTGCCTAAAGCACAGTTGTGCTTTAGGCACTTGTACCTTCGCAGATGGCCTTTTTTTTATTTAAATTTTTGCGAAAGTACAAGTGCCTAAAGCACAGTTGTTCTTTAGGCACTTGTACTTTCGCAGATGAGAAGGTCCCATCTGCGAAATGGGCTTCTCATCTGCGAAAGTACAAGTGCCTAAAGCACAGTTGTGTTTTAGGCACTTGTACTTTCGCAGATGGCCTTTTTTTTAAATTTTTGCGAAGGTACAAGTGCCTCAAGCACAGTTGTGCTTTAGGAACTTGTACTTTCGCAAAATGTACTTTCGCAAAAATTAAAAAAAAAGGCCATTTGCGAAAGTACAAGTGCCTAAAGCACAACTGTGCTTTAGGCACTTGTACCTTCGCAAAAATTTAATAAAAAGGGCCATCTGCGAAAGTACAAGTGCCTAAAGCACAACTGTGCTTTAGGCACTTGTACTTTCGCAGATGAGAAGCCCATTTCGCAGATGGGACCTTCTCATCTGTGAAATGGGTGGTTATTTTTGTAATTTCGATTTTTTTTGGCTATTTTTGTAATATCATTAGTGTAAATGGCTATTTTTGTAAATTTCTCTAAAACAAATACGAATCCACTACTCTCGCGCGCTTATACCACCCTATGAACACAATCCGTCACCTTCCTTTATTCTGTTTTCTTTTTCCGCAAGTGTTCGTCTTCCCAATTGAGATCTCTCTCTCTCTCTCTCTCTCTCTCTCTCTCGTTCTCTTCACACAGAAAAAACCTCTCACTACGGTAACAAAAAAAACCCTAAATCGACGCGTCTCGGTACACTGCTCCGCCTCCACTTTCCGCTGTTTCAACTTGTTTCAACTTTCGAGTAACGGAATCCTAGCAGCTTGCTGCTGCTAGTATCTCATTCTCGCCGCCGGAAGAACGGTTCCGCACCTCCGATTCAACGTGTTTAAAGGTTTATGCGCCAAATTTTCACTTGCATTTGACAATTATACCTACATTTGGACTTAGCATTTTTAGTCCCGTTATCCAATATATATATTTTCAAAAAGCTTTCATATGTTCCATTAACCTCGACAAATTTCGTCATATCCTGTGTTCTGTTTAATTTTTTAACAGATATTTTGCATATGAGACTTGATTAAGTTGATATATTCTGTTTTTCCTGTTTAAGCGGATTTTCTTACTCATTATAGGTGTGTAATGTGTTGCTTGTTTGGGAATCAGGAATGTGGTGCTTATTTTTCCTTCTGACATTCGCTTGTTTTATTTGAAACGCATGTCCAAACCCTAAAGTTTATCTTTATTTTATTTGAAATTTGTGGCATGTTATTAGGATAGAGTTTTAACTTCATTAATCATGTGAATAGATTTTACTACATCTGCTGTTCAATGAGCACTGGTATTGCATCTACATCTTTTGTTCCAATGGACGTTTCTGAGGCTGAAGATGCAGATATAAAAAGTTGGAACACGTTATTCAACGCTTTGAAATCTTGTGGGATTCTACACGGTGGTACTATAAACCCCTCAGGTATGTGTTGTTTCAAAGCTGTGCAAATATTTTTGTAAATACCATAAACGATAGTCATTTAGTTACATCTAAAAATCTAAAAACATTAATATTGTAGAAATTGCAATGGGACTTGAGTATGAAGAAGCTAGAAAAGAGTCACTAGAACTGAAAAGTCATCTCAAGAGCGTTAGAAATAAGGTAATAATTAATATACATGAACAGTAATTTGTGTTTGAGTTTCTGATAAGCCCCAACTAATCCTAGAATGCTGTTATTTGATTTGCTTTATTAGAATCATTCCGTTATCTATTGGCCTTTAGGGGTAGAATGGTCTTTTTGGTATTATGATTGTTATTGGCTGTTTTGTTAGTGGGAACAACACCTGATTACGTTGGCTGTTATTCCTTTTGTCTCGTCTCTAGTGGTAGTATATATTGTCCTTTTGTTTTAGAGAGTCACTAGCTAAGAATTTTTATGAATTCAACTTTGTTCTTTCTTGGAGATACCCACATCTCGAAAGCTGGGAATTATCTTAATTTCATCACGTAATTCTGTTAAATCAAGGGTTAAAATGCCTGGGGTATATGATAGATTCAACAAGGATCTATCAGTTTCACATTTTGGTCCAATTTTTTATTATTACTATTATTTTTTTTTAGTTTTTTTGTTTTAAATGCACAAAGTCGGTTTTAATTTTTATGAAGTTTATAAAATATTTTAATATATATATATATATATATATATATATATATATATATATATATATATATATATATATATATATATATTGTGTCCCACAAGAACTTTGTTATGAACTGGATTCTAAGACCAGATTCAATAACATAAAACAATCAAGGATTCTAATATTGATAACCTCAAATATACCCAAAAATTAAAATTACAAGAACAAATGATAGTTTAGCTGATTCGAGATAGCCAATCTCCCAAGGAATAAATTCCAGATTTCACAAAAGGATTGATACCTCACTCCCTGCCCACTACCCTCTTCTTATACTATCTGACAAAACAGCTAAATACTATAAAATGCCTAAAATGCCCCTCCTACTAATAAGATACCCTTTAATTAGATGAGTTCCCTTATTACCCCTAACTTACTTATTTGCCTAATATTAGAGGTATAACAATACCCCACCCCCAAAAGAACCACCTTGTCCTCAAGGTGGATAAAAATAATGCATAACATCCAAATTCTCTCGGGTGGCTTCTTCTTCATGCCCTTAGCCTTACCCTGATCTGCAACAACCACAACAATCACCGTATATATTCCACCCATTTGTTCCATTGCCCCCATGATCATTTTAATAGCTTCCTCATCAGCCTTGCAGGCCACATCAGTAGTCTCAACATTGCCAATATGCAAATTCTTTAGCTCTTCATCTTTATCTTGATTCTTTCCTCTTCGTACGGTCACCACTTGAAAATACCATCCCTCGACTCCAAACTTCTCTAGGAACTTTGCATTCGTCCTCATACTTTGCTTTTCCATGGCTAAGGAGTTAGTACCTTCTTTCCCTGGCCAAATTTTAGTAGCTGAACCCTTAGAAATAGTTCCAACATTGTCAATCATGTCACCCGATATTAAAACATTTCCACCAGTTAAGTTCATCATCTCAGCCACATTGCATCTGCAACCCTTTTTTTTATTAATTGCCAAAGGTGCATCAGATAACTTTTTGGCAAAAGCACTCGCCCTAGCCACTCCACCAACATCAGGCGATAACATTACCAAATCATTTGAGCAAATTGACTTGCTGGCAAGATAATCAAGAATAGCACGCTGACAGTAAACATGGTCAACTGAAATATCAAAATAATCTATTGACTGCCCAGAATGAAAATCACAAGCAAGAACATGATCCGCACCTTCTTCCATAATGAGATTTGATACTTGTTTTATAGCAATAGATCCGTGCCATTGAGTCTTTCTATCTGTTTCAACATATCCAAAATAAGGTATAATTTTTGTGATGTTCTTGGCTAATGCTTTTCTACCCACATCAATTGTTAGTAGAAGCTCCATGAGAATTTTGTATGCTGCTGATCCAGAATCTATTGTAGCCAATTCTTCTGTACACAACAAGAGATAATCTTGCACTATCTTCTCAACCATTTCAAACGCCAAGTGTACATTGTTTTTAGAGAAATTTACAAAAATAGCCATTTAAACTAATGATATTACAAAAATAGCCAAAAAAAATCGAAATTACAAAAATAACCACCCATTTCGCAGATGAGAAGGTCCCATCTGCGAAATGGGCTTCTCATCTGCGAAAGTACAAGTGCCTAAAGCACAGTTGTGCTTTACGCACTTGTACCTTCGCAGATGGCCTCTTTTTTTTTTTTTTTAAATTTTTTGCAAAAGTACAAGTGCCTAAAGCACAGTTGTGCTTTAGGAACTTGTACTTTCGCAGATGGCTTTTTTTTTTAATTTTTGCGAAGGTACAAGTGCCTCAAGCACAGTTGTGCTTTAGGAACTTGTACTTTCGCAAAAATTTAAAAAAAAAAGGCCATTTGCGAAAGTACAAGTGCCTAAAGCACAACTGTCCTTTAGGCACTTGTACCTTCGCAAAAATTAAAAAAAAGGCCATCTGCGAAAGTACAAGTGCCTAAAGCACAAATTTACAAAAATAGCCATTTACACTAATGATATTACAAAAATAGCCAAAAAAAATCGAAATTACAAAAATAACCACCCATTTCGCAGATGAGAAGGTCCCATCTGCGAAATGGGCTTCTCATCTGCGAAAGCACAAGTGCCTAAAGCACAGTTGTGCTTTAGGCACTTGTACCTTCGCAAATGGCCTTTTTTTTTTTTTTTTAAATTTTTGCGAAAGTACAAGACTACCGAGTTCAAATATTACCATTCAAGTCGGTTTACAAAAAAGATTACCGGTTGCATATTACTTTCGCAAAAATTATTACCGAGTTCAAATATTACTTTCGCAAAACTTTAAAAAAAAACAAAAAAAAAGGCCATTTGCGAAAGTACAAGTGTCTAAAGCACAACTGTGCTTTAGGCACTTGTACTTTCTCAGATGAGAAGCCCATTTCGCAGATGGGACCTTCTCATCTGCGAAAGTACAAGTGCCTAAAGCACAACTGTGCTTTAAGCACTTGTACTTTCGCAAAAATTTAAAAAAAGGCCATCTGCGAAGGTACAAGTGCCTAAAGCACAACTGTGCTTTAGGCACTTGTACTTTCGCAGATGAGAAGCCCATTTCGCAGATGGGACCTTCTGATCTGCGAAATGGGTGGTTATTTTTGTAATTTCGATTTTTTTTGGCTATTTTTGTAATATCATTAGTGTAAATGGTTATTTTTGTAAATTTCTCTTTTTTTTATGTGCAATTTGTTTCTTAAAACAATGTTTTTCATAAGATTTTGTATGTTGTCTCCTTCATATATTTTTAAATAATGGATAACTCCAAACCATTAATGGTCAATGGTCCTACACTTTATTTTTTTCGTTTTTATTAAATTGTAACCCATTGGGCATTTTCTTTAACTTAAGTGTCAAAAGCCCACCATTAAAAGTCAATCTAGATGTGGAGAACATAAAATCTCATGGCCCTTCCACGAAAAAAAAGAAAATTTCTTAAATTCCCTTGAACATATCATCGCACAAAACCATAATAATTTTTCTTAATGAACTTCACATTTAGAAGTATTCTCTCACAAACACTCTTTCATATAATCACAACCATGTTTCACTTATCTTTCGGGTTTCAACTGTCTTTGTTACAAGAGAGGGTATATTCAAAGAAATCTCATGTCGTTCAAGGTCTTTTGTTCTGATCTGGCATGCATTTCGTTTGTAGGTGGAGTTGGTGAATTTGAAAAATCAACTTAAAAATCGAGAAAAGCTGGACAGTTTTATTATGTTAGAGTCAAGGTTAGCTAAATATTTTTTCGTTATTTATTTTATTTTATTCTGAAGTTGGCTTTTGTTTTTGACTATGGATGTCACTTTCTATTTTCTTTAAACATCATATAACACATTAACACGAAATTCTGTTATGCATTTTTCAGGAATAAATGCTTTGATACCACTCTCAAAATTGACCTCAGAGATCAAGAACCACAGGAAGCGATTTCGTTTTTAAAAATCCATATATGGATCGGCTACAACCTCAGAAGTAAATATAAATATATATATATATATATATATATATATATATATATATATATATATATATATATAATCTATTAAATAACTTTTTATGTCTTAAACTAATCATGTAAGCTTTTTTTTGTTTTAATCTAAACAGCTGTGCGTCACATAAATGCAATAACCGGAAATACAAATCAAGATTTGAGGTTAAAGTTAAAGGTATGAATTTGTTTATTTTACTAAATATTATCAAAATGATTAATGGATACTTATTGTATTTAACAAGTGTTTGTTTTTGCAGATCAGTAATTTCTTATTTCATACAAATGTTCGTTCTGAAGAAAATAGCAACAGAGATGGATTTGATATTGCATTTTATCCCGGCGAAAAAGACGCTATCTTTCCTTTTGAAGAGATTCGGCCGGGGAATGATTCTGATGTACAAAGTTGGGAGAGAGTTTTACAATCTTTATTATCGTGTAACAAGTTTCATGAAAATATTAACTTACAAGGTAAATTATTCTAGGCATTTTTTTTTTGGTGTTTGTTAGCTTAGAAAGACCTCACAAATAACTATTTTATTTTGTCGCAGATGTTGGAACAATTGCCGACTGTAGAGATTTCAAGGACCAAACATCAGAAATGGAAACTCAAGTCATATATGTTGAGAAGCTTGTAATAATTTTGTTAGAGGAGTATTTTAGTTTTCTAACTTCTTTTTATACACATCCTTTTACTTCAAAGACCGTATTTTATAATGCAGGTTGAAGAGTTTATATCTACCGGACAACTAAAACTTGCAAATGAATGGAAACAACATGCAAAAGCATCAAGAAAGAAGATAGATAATGATAAGAAGAAAAATAGCTTCAAGCTAATTGAGTTGAGGTAATAAATTAACTTTACCTTGTTTCCTTTTAATTCAAACTTCTTTAACATATAATCAATAGGATTTTCATGTTGATTAAAATGTTTTCATTTTTTCAGGCATAAAGAAATTCGAAATCAAATAATTTTTGATTTACATGGTCTCCATACTGATGAAGCTCTATGGTTTGTAAAGCTTCATCTATTCTTGTTTTATAACCTTCGGAGTAAGCTCCATACAATCAGCTTATTTAATTGTTTTTTTTTTTTATGTTATTATTATTATTTATTTATTTATTTATTTTTTTTAATAAAAGCTGTAAAAGTGATATATGTAATCACTGGGCATGGTGAATCTAGAGCAAATGTTTCGGTGCTGAAAGAGAAGGTATAATAATGTATTTTTTTATTTAAAGTTTTTATGTATTTTTATTTTAACTTTTCTATTAAAGCCCTAAAAACTATTTCCACTGGTTTTGTTTTGTTTTGCAGGTCGGTAAACTGTTAAAAAAAATTGGAATCCAACCTCTACTTTCAAATAAAGGCCAATATGAAATACAACTTCCTGAGGAACAAAAAGATTTTAACTGTTTGTTGGATAATTCAGATTGTAATTGATATTCATGTTTGTTTTTTTAGTATTTTTAAAATGATGAAATTGAGGACTTAATCCAGAAATTGCAGCAACACGTGTTTTGTTTTGTTATTGATTGTTTCCTAGTCTAATGTTTTGAATAAGTGGTCCCTGCTCTGCTTTCATGCAAACTAGGAAAGGTCCCCGGGGTTTGTTATCTATCAGTGTTCATTGTACTTTCAATTGGTAGAATTTTAAGAGAAATGAAAGTAGAATGCTATAACAAACAACTTGATAAAAGTAGATTCATATTTCTTGTATTTTTCGATTAGCAATTGGGTTAATTGGGTTATTGATTGAGGGACGATTCGTGAAGAAAAATGCGAAGTCAAGAAGGACTGTGAAATGTGATTTGTTCAATATTGGAGTCAAATGCAGTTCACGTGTAAAAGCAAAAATGTTCGCATTTGGTAATACAAATCAAAATTGGGTTTCGCATATGAGGTTGTATGGATTGGGGTTAAAGATGCGAAGGTGATTATGGTTAATATTCATTTCGTATTTGGTGAGACAAACAACTCAAATGCGAATGAACTAAAAAAAAAAAATGACTGGAACATGCGAAGAAAGTGTTGGAATAGTGTCTAAGGCTATAACTATATTCGGTGGTGCATGGTCCTTTTGGGTTGCCTTCACCATAGCAACTTAAAGGATGATTTGTTAAGAGAGAGTAAATATTATAAGGAATAATATTTAGCTATTTGATTAATATAAGTCATAAATTAATTGGTATTAATTTGGTGACTTAAAGAGATTAATTAAATAAGAGGGTATAAACTGTCAATTGTTTGATAGTTAGACTTTAGACTGTAAATCCATTTGGATGGACCTTGGACGGATTCTAAGAGCTTTAGGATAGCTCAAAATCGTCCATAGGGTTATCTATGGAATGGATTTGGATAGCCTTAAGAGAAGATTATCCAATTAGGGTTTAGGGTGAAACCCTTAAGGAGTCTAAAGGTATAAATAGGCCCTTGGGATGTGGAATTCGGGTACAACCTTTCAGAACCTTAAGCAAGGAACCTCTGGTCGAATTCCATCCCCTCTCCTCTCTCCTAAATCATCTTGCTTGCTATTGGTGTTTGTAAGCCATTAGAGGAGTGACAATTGTGACTCTAGAAGCTCCAAGACAAACAAGATCAACAAGGGATTCAAAGGTATGATTCTAGATCTGTTTCATCATTGTTATTTAACCTAATTAGCCATTAGAAGTCTTGGATTCAAAAGCATGTTTATTAGAAAGCCTAGATCCAAGCAATAGGGTTTTTGCATGCGCACATAGGAAAGTTCTTATGGCTAAAACCCAACAGTGGTATCAGAGCCTAGATTGGTTTTCTTTAAATTGTTGCTTGAATAACTGAAACAAACCTGCAAAATTCGAATTTTTGGGTTTTGAGTCACTGACTCGTCGAGTTCCATGGTGGACTCGTCGAGTAGGCCTGACTCGTCGAGTCCCCTTGTGCACTCGGCGAGTCCAAGCGTCAGGAATGGCCAGATTCGGGATTTTTTCATAATTATCTTATGGAAACTTACCTTAATCATATTAGATCAATGTAAATCCGATTTTTTGATAAATATGACTGTTATCTTGATCTAATTAAAGATATTTATCATCTAATAAAATATTTAATTTCCTTATATGATAATAATTAATTATTTTGGTAATTATCTTCAAAGAAATCAAGATAAATCAAATAAAGATAATTAGAATATTAATTGTTAATTGGAATTATTTGTTATTTGATCCTCTATGTTTTAAATGTTTAAAACCTACCCTTAAGTTTTGAAATTTATAATTTGTGATTAAAGTTTTAATTTAGACAACTTAAATTTCAAACCCTAGATTTTGAAAAGTTTAAAATGCAACCCTATACTTATATGATATTACTAGAATAATATATATATGTATAACTAAATGCTAGTCTTACCGCTAGTAGGCCTCATTCACGAAGCCGATCTATAAGGTGGGTATAAGGTTGCGGCCTATAAAATGGCGCTTAATGGGTGTACACTCACACCCACCGCTTGCTTGATTGGTGGAGGTGTTGGATTAGTGTCTAAGTCCATAACTATTTTGGTATGTACTTGACCCGATGGTGCATGGTCCTTTTGGGTTGCCTTCACCAAAGCAACTTGATTGGAGAAATGAATAAAGAGAGAGAGGATAATATGATTTATTAATATGTTATAAGAATAATATATTAAAGGAGAAATCATATTTGTTTAATTAATATTGGTCAATAATTAATTAAGAATTAGTTTTGTGATCAAATGTAATTAATTAAACTAGAGGGGCTGATTTGTAATTATGTGATAGTTACAAAATAAGGTAAGGATTACCTTATATATATGGTGAACGAATTTGAGGTGTAAATCCCTTAGAATTCGAGTATGATAAGGATTCAAGGATTATCTTATTGGTTGCTTAATGGATAATCAACTAGATAAGGATAATGACTGAAACCCTATCTCTACACCTATATAAACACCCCTAGGGCCATGAATTCGTGTATCCCTTCCCAAGAGGTCCTAGATACGAATTCTAACCTCTCACCTCTCTCCTTATACCTTCTCCATTTGCTTATGGTGTTTGTAAGCCATTAGAGGAGTGACACTTGTGACTCTAAGCATTCCAAAGTCAATACAAGGAGATTTGGGATTGTTATTGCTACATAACAATCAAGGTAACACTATAAAATTATTCTCATGTTAATATGATTATATGTATGCTAGAATTAGGGTTTGTAGTCTTGGATTCAAAACATGTACAATAGAGAAACCTAGATCCAAGCATTAGGGTTTGTATGAGCACATAGGATGTCTTATGACCAAAACCCAACAGTGGTATCAGAGCCTTGATTGGTTTCAATTGTATTGATGCATATTTGATCGAAATAAGCACTGAAAATCGATTTTTGAGTTTCTGAATGTTTGACTCGCCGAGTCACTTGGTGAACTCGCCGAGTCAGCTGTACTCGACGAGTCCAGGTCCAGACTCGACGAGTCAAAGGGTCTGACAGCTCAGATTCGCGATTTTCTTCCTGTTTTGGTTTTGGATAATTACCATAAACTTGCTTTTGTGATAAAATCCGAATTTTTTCATTATTATGTGATTATCCTTACCAAAATAGAAGATAATTGTCAAAATTTAGATAATCACTTGTTTTATTAGATAAAGTTTGATTATTTGTAATTTAGATTTGAATTATCTTGTGAAATAGTTTCAATTTATCCCTTTAGGTTTTATAGTTTAAATTTGAACCCCAAAAGTTTTGTTGTTTTGAAATTTAAATAGTTAAAACCCTAATGTTTTGAAATGTTTCAAAACTTGCCCTCAAGTTTTGGAATTTAAAGGTTGATTAAAAGGTTAATTAGAAATGTTAAATTCTAAAACTCTAGTAATGTTTTGAAAAGTTCAAATCACCCCTTTATGGTTTTATTAATTAATTAAGGAGTATAATTAAAAGAGGTTTAATAAATCCATAAAAGTTTAGGTTAACAATTTAATTGAATTAAAAGTGTAATTATTAAAGTTAACCACATAGTATTTTAAAAGTATAAAATACACCCTATACTATATATAAGATTAAAAGTCTAATATTATATATGTATGAGTAAAAGTCAGTCTTACCGTTAGTAGGCCTCATTCACGAAGCTGGTCTATAAGGGGTGTTTAAGGAAATTGCCTATAAAATGGCGATTGAATGGGTATCCACTCTTACCCACCGCACTCTTGACTAGTGGAGGGTCGTTAGCCGAACGGGTAGGATAGGACGAAACCTTCCATTATAAATATAATGAAATACAGAGTAACTAAATATTTTGCAAATTCCCAATCTTAGTTACTTAAGCAAAAGTGAATTGATGCAATTCCATGAAATTACACTTTGTGCCCTTGCGAAGACGTTAGTGGAGCGTGTGTGGTTTACCGGCACACTAAATGGTTCTAAGCAAGGTAGCAAAGGGTGACTCAATGTTTGTCATAGTTCGGTGGAGCGTGTGTGGTTTACCGGCACATCGAATAGGTGATTGTAACATGTGAGGGCACCATGTAGTTTGCATGGTTATTCACACCCGCTTTGTGATCCTCGGCATCCCAGTCACAAACAAGAGGGGCATATCGAGATTTAAACATGCCATTGAAATGTTCAATGAATCTCAAAGGATCTAGGAGTTTTCATAGATTTAAAACTTAAATTTCTTTTTCGTTTCTCATGGTGAAAACTAGTGAATCGTCATTCACTTACCTTCAAATGTTCTGCGATTTGGGTTACGGCATCCCTCTCCCGAGTTGTAGGATATTGTGTTGGGTCCTAGCCTTGGAATTTCATTTGGGTGATTTACCAAGGACTCAATCAATCAACTAACTTGAATTCGTTTTTCTCCCGATGTCAAAGTTCGACAACTATGGTCTTCGCAAATTCCGTGGAACAAGCATTCCACATGAAGATGATATTCCACGATTCGATCAAGGAACAAGAAATCATGCTTCACTTCCTCCTCCTCCTCCAATTATTCTCCCTAACCCACAAGTTCAAAGGCTTGAAAAGTTCAAGATCACTCAAGCCCTTTTGGCAAGTGAACATAAAGAAGGAAAGTCGGTGTGTGCACACGTCCTAGGGATGAAGTCACACATTGATAGACTAAGAATGATAGGATCCATTGTCGGTGAAGAGATGGCTGTTGATTGGGTTCTTCAATCACTTCCTAACTCGTATAGTGAGTTCGTAAGAGAGTACTATATGATGAACCGCGACGTGACCCTTATAGATCTCACCTATATGCTTATTGCTGCTGAATCAGCAATGGTTTGGCGCAATAGAAAAGCAAAGTTGATTGGTGAATCTGCCTTCGAGACCTCTGTGGATATAGACAATGGCAATGAAAGACATGCAATGATCGAAAAGTTTGATCATAAGAGAAAGGCGATGTCTGAAGTAGTTCCATGTGTTGTTCCAAAAAGAGTCAATTTGCTTTTATTGCC